ATATATATGTGTGTGTGTGTGTGTGTGTGTGTGTATGTATGCAGTCAAACCAAACTTTATTCAGACACCTTCAGTATTTTTCACATTATATCACAGTTTATTCCCTATAGTTTAGAAAATGGTAATAAAATATCTTGATAATGTCAGATAACTTTGATAGTTTAATTTTGTTCAGTCTGTGGTGTAAAAAGTTTGCATTAGCAATTAAAGAAAAAACACTTAAGCAAAACATGGTTAGGTCAAAGTGTCTGAATTTTTTTGATCTCAAATTTTACTGGTAGTCTACATCTATTCTTCTATGAAGAATTGTTGGGTATAATATGTCACAGTTCACTTTATTGTGCTATCCTCACTTACATTTATTAGTGTCCTGCACCCACTAGTAAAAAAAAAAAATCAAAAATTATATCTGGTGTTTGAATAACTTTTGGTTTGACTTGTATATACATACATACTGTACATACAAATATATGATTGTTCAAATTTCATATATATTTCTTCCTCCATTTTAGGTATAGATAGTATTCACAGTTGCACTTTAAAGCAAAAAATAAAATCAGCTTTGCTGAACGAACACAACAGGCTGGAAATGTGTAGAACCTTTTGAATGACGTGTTCAGTTCTGCGAAAAATCTGTAAAACGTTTAAACAAATTCCATGTGCCTCCCACGATCAACCGCACATGAATTCTGCACAATCCTGCATATACTCAATAACTGCACTGACTCAATCCTGTCTCTCCTATGAATAAGACTGAAACTGTATTTGCACTGGCAGCTGGCGAGTGCCGCCCGTCTAACGACTGCATCTCCTACTAAACGTGCTGTTTAATGAGAGTGACAAAGTGTTTCACTGAGGAGCGAGTGCTTCTTCGCCTCTCGCAGATGCTGGTGTGTGCGACTTGTGTTAGAAAGCTCTGAGTGTGAATGCCAATGTCATGTTTACTCAACAGATGAGCTAGCTGTGAGTAACGGCACAGATTGCACACATCATTAGAGCCGCACAGCTGCACGTCCATAAGTTTCCATTACAGCACCACCCTAATTTAACCATGTGCGAAGGCGTATGTGTGCTAAGACTGTCGAGTCTTATTGGTTGTGTTCTTCATTAGCTGGAAGTGATCATGTCTATCTGACTTCCTCAGACTGCTCACCAAGAAACTTACCCACGAGCAGGCCGCCGTTGGAAGCTCCGTTGATGGCGATCTGGCTGGCCGTGGTGTATCCCTCCTGGATCAGGTACTCGGCAGCACACTGGAAGTCATCAAAGCAGTTCTGCTTGTTCCCAAGAGTGCCAGCTGAAATCAGAAATCTTTCTTAAAAACGTACAATTTGAAGCAGCACATGGTAGAGGGAGTGGGGTAAACTGGGCCACTTGTACTGAAGTCAAGGGGGAAGAGGTATTAGGTAGTATTTGCATTTAATTCAATTTCTCCCATATACTGCGAGTTTAAGTATATGTAAGATACAGCCATAGAAATATGACTTCTCAAAAAAATGTCACACTTTACTCATGTAAGGGGAAACATGAGTCATTTGGCAATATGTAAACAAATTATATTAAATTATTCAAACAGTATTTCATGTTGCAGAATTTTTAATATGTTGCAAAGTACAGTACTTGCATTACCGTAAACCTTAAACCAGAAAAGGTTTGCAATATTTGAATGTGGTTAAAGTCATTATTATTTCCACATTTATTATAACCACATTTATCATGTGAATTTCTTAATTAAAACCTGCATATGATCGGCCTTTTCTAAATATATACAAAATAACCACTTGCTAAAACTTTTAGGTATTATAAGTGGTCACCATTTTTTCTGAAAGTTTTCAGGGGGAAAAAAACTGTTTTTTGCTGTTGCAATTCAGTTATATAGTCCTGTGGCATGGCAAGTTTTAATAATAATAATTCATTCATAAAGACTGCAAGTACAATAATTATACAAGAATTAGAAAACATTATTATTATTATTATTAGATTAACCCATTTAATCCCACCAGTCACAATTGTGACCATAAAGAAGATTTTCATTTATAAAGCTCTAAATATCTTACTGACTGATGTTTTAGTGCATTTTCTGCAAATATGGGATAAAATAAAGGGTCTCAATTAAAAATGTGCAGTTTCACATGATTAGTGCAAATTGTCACAAGACCATAGCAGTTTAATTCCCGTTTGCACCATGAGAAGATGATGACTGCATCAAAGCTCCAAAATAAAAGGCTAGTGAAGTATGTTAACATAAAGATATGACAAAGATTTTTGGTCCACATTATCTTTAAGGTGTCTAGCATTAATATATGAATTCACAATTATTACGTTTTGTTGAGTGTTGTCATAGAATAAGTAAAAATATAGATGGTCACAATTGTGACCGGTGGTATAACAGTGAATTTAGGTATACATATAAATCCAATTGCAGTTGTTAGTGAAAGCTGCACTAAAATGTTGCAATGACAAAATTTTGCACTAAATTAAAAATTCAAGGGCCTATTTTAACGATCTAAGCGCATGGTCTAAAGCGCACGGCGCAGGTGCACTCAGCGCGTGTCCAAATCCACTTTTGCTAGTTTAACGACGGGAAAACGGTCGGCGCGCCCGGGCGCATGGTCTAAACGGGTTGTCCCTATTCTCTTAATGAGTGTGGGCGCACAAATGGGCGCAAATGCATATGCTATTTAAACAACGCAGCGCAGGACGGGAAAATGAGAACTGCGTCGGGCTGATACTAGCAAAAACACTTGGGCCGCATTGCGCCGGCTGTATGATAGGGCCCCAAATGTTGCAAATAAGTTACAATATTGATGTTGTAATACTGGCAGCTAATATAACAATTTTATGATATATGTTACAATAAAGTAATAATTTTGAAATGTGTTGATGGTTGTATTTTAAAAACAGACGTCTATGTTAAAAACAGACGGGATGAATACTAAAGTAAATTAGCTAAATTAACTATAGAAACTAACTGTTTGAAACCAAAATGTGTGAACTATTAAGACTAATTTTCAAGTTGGACTAGTGTTAAAAATGTTGACTAATTAGAGTTCACTTTCTATTCATTCATTCTTCATTTATCTTTCAAAAGGACACACATCTGAGCGTGAATGAAGTGAGGATACTGTACCTTTGTGCCAAGTTTGGCCATACTCTCCTCCTCCTCTGATGTTAGCTACAGCCAGGATCCCACCCAGGTGTCTAATAAAGAGCAGGTATGCAGTGCTGCACATACAGATAGAGAAATAATTGGTTAATAGTTTGGGATATTCATATTTCACATACTCTCTTCCTTTTCCATCCCATTCCATTTGCGATTTTTAGCCAAACACAAACAGAGAGCTTTATACTAACTTGTAATATGGCTGAATTGAGTTCTCAAAGCCTCCATAACCATACAGAAAGACTGGATGAGAGCCGTCTCTTTCTATGCCACGTGCATGTACCAGGAACATTGGGATCTTTGTGCCATCTTTACTGGGGTAAAACACCTGTTATGCACAAACACTTAAGGTGTATTATTACAGTCAAAAGTTTGGAATAATTACAATTTTTTTAAACAATATTTGAAAGAAGTGTCTTATGCTCACCATGACTGCATAAATTTGATTAAAATTTCAGTGAAAACTTTAATATTGTGAAATTAATGCAATTGAAAAGAATTCTGTTTTCTATTTGAATATATCTTTAAAATGTCATTTAATTTTCAGCAGTCATTACTCCAGTCTTCAGTGTCACATGACCCTTCAGAAATCATTCTAATATGCTTAAGATTATTAATAAGATTCTTATTATCATCCATGTTAATAAAGCAGCTTAATATTTTTGTGGAAACACTTTTTTCAGGATTCTTTGATGAATAGAAAATTTCCACAAAAATATTAAGCAAGGTAAAACTGTTTTCAACACTGATAATAACAAAAAAATGTTTTTTAAGCACAACATCAGCATATTAAAATGATTTCTGAAGGATCATGTGACACTGAAGACGTGAGTAATGAATTATAAGTGACACTGAAGATATATTTGTAATACTGAAACTTCCTGTGGGCTGTGATTCATGTGTTATTTCAGGACAGACTGCAGCCTGACCTGAGTTGTCTGGTAGTCACTCGGGTTGATGCCCTTTACTTCCACCTGCCTGAAGATCGTGGGCTCTGGGTCGGGTTGACTCAGGTCACAGTGGTAGATTATGCCTGAGCGATTAGATATGAAGAGTAAAAACACTTTTCATGGTCTGGAAATCTATGTGATCTCCTTTTTTACTGCCAAAGTAAATGCACATACTGGGGTGTCCTTATACTTGAGGTTACGTAGTGTATTTTGGCATAAATGTCGCGCATTATTTAAGTGTGTTTACCTGGTGTAGTAAATGAAGTGAACTTGTAGAAGAAGTCAGGGTGCTTCTTCTTGCAGCTGAGGCCAACTACAGTGCCCACATCTAGCGGCAGGTCTCTAATCAGTTTCCCTGATTGCAGTTCATACAGCTGTAAGATGTCCTTCACGTCATGCACATAATTCACCAGCAGATAGCGCTGGTTCACACACTCCACGAAGCCTGCAGACAAGATATAAACACTATCAGGCTGCAGTTCTCTGTTTTTATTGGAAATGAGTTATTGATAGTGTGGGTGAAGAGGAAGTGTGTGTGTGTGTGTGTGAGGCTTGTGACAGTTTCACCCACAGATGTTGACTACTGTGAATACCAAGAAAATATGAGCTAACTCTGTTTCCAGAATGTTTAAACTGAAACATTTTACAGGGAAAAATGGAGGGGTAACCAGGGCTAGTTGTCTCTGTAACTATGAGATAAAGGTCCAATTACACAAATGTGCGTTTTTCCTGGCAGTGGTTTTGTTTGTTGGTTTCAGCTATATGTTGAAGGTAGTTTTATGTGTTTAATTGTACACTATTTATTAATTATAATTTCTGCTTAATGAATTGAACTGTATTTTTTCTGGAGTAATAACAGTGAAAATATTTTAAGTTTTTGTTGTTGTTGTTTTGTAATGAAGACTTTAAGGTGTGTGTCCAGTGTCTCAAGCTAACATTTTGCCACACCTGCCAATAGCTGGTGACTTGAGAAGATTGACTGGCCATAACTATTTTATTACCAGCCATTAAGTATGTGCATTATTTCATTAAAAAAAAAAAAAAAACAGGCAGCACATTGTTGGTATTATTATTAATTAATATAATAATAAATATTAAATATAAAAATATAATAATTATTTAGTAATAGTATTATTTGATCAAATTATAAAATTAAACAAATCAGTAAAGAAAAGTATTTCATCATAATAACAATTGTAATTATTATTTATAATAATATAATAATAATATATTTATTATTATTATTATTATTTATGAGAACAGTAAAATTACAATACTAATACTTATGGTTGTTGTTGTTGTTGTTTTTTTCTTTGCTTTCAGACATTAAACCATAGAGTATTTATATTTGATGGAAAACCACAGAGAAACTTCTCTTTTGTTGACAAGAGTATAATGTTCTCTTACCAAGAACGTCCTTCTCGTGTTGGGGGATGAGGGTTTTCCAGTGTGTCTGCTCTGGTTTCTGCAGGTCTATGGTGATGAGGCGGTAACGAGGAGCATCCAGATTGGTGCGTAATGTGAAGACGGTGCCCTCGTTGGTGATGTATGTGTACTGCGCTTCAAATGTGTCAACCAGCTTCACCCATGGCAGCAAACCTTGAATAACATTACTATTAAATGAATGCTTTTATTCAGCAAGTATGCATTAAATTGATCGAAAGTAACAGTAAAGACTTGCATTGTTACGAAACATTTCTATTTCAAATAAATTTACTTCTATTCATCAAAAAATCTTGAAAAAAATGTGTAATGGCTTACACAACAATATTAGGCAGCACAACTGTTTTCATGATTGATAATAATAAGAAACGTTTCTTAAGCACTGAATCAGTATATTAGAATTATTTCTGAAGGATCATGTGACAGAAGACTAGTAGTAATGATGCTGAAAATACAGCTTTGCATCACAAGAATAAATTACATTTTAAAATGTTTTTTGAAATTGTAATAATGTTACACATTATTACTATTTTTACTGTATTATTGGTAATATTACTGTGCAGCCTTGCTGAGCAAGAAAGAGAATTCTTTCAAAAACATCTTACATACATTTATAATATAATATAATATAGTGGTCCTTTCAATGTGTTTTAATTAAGTTTTTATTTTTTTAAAATGCATTTCATTGTAGTTTGCTATTAGGCATCCCACACATGCAGACTGACCTGTGATGCCATTGGGCAGCTGCTGCAGGTCGCAGTACCACAGACGGTTGACTGGCTCACAACCCTCGGTGATGGACAGCACTGCATACCTGCCATCATCAGAGACCTGGACAGATGAGGAGAAAAGGAGAAACGGTGGAAGATTGTGTAAGAAAAAGAGAACCACACACAAAAAAGGAGAACAATTAATTTTAGGCTAGGTAATTTTGTCAAATTCTTTATAAATATTTCATCACATTGTGTGAATCATAAGAGTAAGTTGCATAATTTTATCTTCCCAAAAAGGGGGTTTTGTATAAATTTGGTGTTGTCTTACAGTAAGGCTACTGTGCCATTTTGGGTTGTCAGGAAATTCTGCCACCAGGATGTCTTCTGATTGGCTTGTGCCAATAAGATGGTAGTAAAGCTTCTGGTTTAGGTTTGTTGTGGTCTCAGTGCCTAGAATGGAATGAATGAAACTAATATCACACTGGAAGCAGATTGAATACAAATTTCTTAAAGCAATGACTGTATAGTTAAATAGCTTAAGTGATGTCAGCGAAGAAGGAAAGTTGATGTGCACATACCATCAGCTTTGCCGTCCTGTCGAGGGTAGCATTTTTTTTACTTCATTGCATCTCAAGAGCTCCAGAAATAGAAAGCCCTAAACTCTTACCTCAGATATTTACCACTTTTATATATAATGTATACTGTATAAAGTTTTAAAATATAGTATTTTCAATTTCATTTTAATTAGTATAATAGTTTTCTCATGCATTTTTCATATCATATGTATTTATAGATTAATGTATTCATGTATTTATAGAAATGGTTTTAATGTACTCATTTACAGTAATTACTTTTTATGAATCGAATCCATTAGTACAGTATATAATGCTTTAAAAGTCTTTCATTCGATAATGTTCTAACATTCTTTAATTTTAAGTAGTTATAATTGTGTTGTTATTATGCACTCTTTTATTATCATTATTCCCCAAATGTATGTTTATATTTTTTGTGGTCTGTCTATGGATATCTTGTCTGTTTTTAAACAGGAATGAAATGTGTCAGGACATGTAAAGAGAGGATAAAGGAGAAGAGGCCGGGAGAGAGTGAAAAGGAAAAACTAGGACGTTGGTGTACAGTAAATGCATTACAGGTGTGTGTAAATATATTATGAATCAACCAGTCAATCAAACTCACTTTTGAGAGCCACAGTTCCATCCTCTGAGAGAGTGTTTGGGTCAAAGAACACAGACGCGGGACTGTTTAACGAGTCCTGCACATAGAGCGCATCCTGGTTCTGCAGACCCTCGTTATGGAAATAGAAATATCTAAAATAGAATGTTGATTAAATGTATTTAATTTCAGTTATTTAAGTATACAATGGTATATGCATTACACACGGTGACATTTTATGTTGTGTGCTATTTTTATTTTTAATGTAAACTCTTTTGAATGTGAAAAATGCTTGCTAGTGTGAAAGTTTGTGTTCTGTGTGGTGGGCCTGGGCTGTGTTTGGTGCTGTCTGTTGGGCTGTTCTCTACCTCTTTCCTCTCTTGTAAGGACAGCTGTATTTGGGGTAGTTGTAGAGCTCTGTGAGGCGCTGGTGAAACTGCTCTTTGACCGCACACTGCTCCAGGAATGGCATGGTCAACTTATTCTGCTGTTCAACAAACATCTGTAGGGCGGGTGAGGGACACTGTTAAAATGGTCGTTGTCATGCACACAGAGAACTTGTTTATATGTACATTTTTCTACACGTTTCTTTGTTCCGGTAATGTGGGCCATGGGTGGAGACCAGGAAACAAAACAGGGTAAGCCTAAATATACAGCGTAAATGGTGGTATGTAGTGTTTACTTTGTCCGATAAGAAAGAGAAAGATGTTTTAGTGCATGAAAGCTTGTAACTGTCTTGTCAGTCAGCCTGTTAAATGATGTCAGTGTGACATCAGTATCGCAATGAAAGGATTTTACAAGGACTTTCATTGTCAGACAGACCCCTTTACTTACTTAAAAGTCCCCTTGAGATATTAATATTTTAATAATTCAACAAAACGTTTGCATGTTCATAGTTCTCTGATGTCAGTTAATGGTCACATGACCAAAACACATATATCAGTTTTTTATTAAATATTGTTTTAGCAGGTGTTTTATTATTTTAAACTTATTTATTTATATTAATTTGACATTTTTATGATTTCATTAATTATTAGCTTTTCGTTAACTCATGAACCACAGGGGTTTGCAAACTCCAGTTTGGAAACACCCTGCTGTAATTTATTGTAATGCAAATATGCTGGTGAACCAAAAAATGATACAGAATTTAGTTCTAGTATTAAATGGTTGTTAAACGAATTGGTTCAGTCCTAACAGCATTTTTATTGCAACCTTGGTTGAAGTGGACTTAGAAAAGGAATAAATCCTTAACATTAATGTTGGTCTGAGATTGTGGACAATTTGTATGTGATTTGCATTTGTAGCATAGAATTTGTGTATTGAGTATTGTGTATTGAGAAAAATCTGATTGGGTATTGAATCTCATCTTATTAACAGCATTGAATAATTAAGTATACGCTGTGGCCCTGTGGAAATATGGGAAATACATTTTTGCTTACGTTTAACTGTGTCTTATTTGTCCTAATACAATACAGTAGTACCAGTGTTGTTGGACTCTATATTGACAACTGTTGGCCTGGATGCATGAAGGTAGTATACAAACCTGGCTGTTTTTCTCTGTATTATAATACACATCCACAGTGGACATTCTTGGATTCAGTTTTAATTATTTTTTTTTTTGGTGGATTGTTGGTGGTTTATGCTGGAAAGTGAGTGACTGACTGTGTCATCATTAGTCAATTGCATGAGCTAGTCATGGGATGTCAACATGACAGCACCCATGAGGGGGACGCTTGCTTTATGCAGAATTAAACATTTTACTAAAACTAATAATGGAGAAAAACTGTGTGCACCTTTAAAGAGACAGAGTAACCATTTTGGCCATCTTTAAATGAAGTTTTGTTGTTTTCAATGCCAACAGTGCAACAGTGATCAAGCAGCTTCATAAAGCGACTAAACCAATATTGGAACGGTAATTGTTTCTCATGGAGACGTAAGGTCAATTTAATATTTACAGGGGCTAGTTGGTGATTTTATTGCTGCCTGACTACAGAATGTTGGTGTTTTCTCCCTCCACCTGTGTAAAATTCCTAGCTGTTTTTTTTATTTTATTTTTTTATTTTTTTATACATATACCAAGGTAGTGTCGTGTGTTAATATTATTATCGCCTGAATCCACGTCTCTGTGGCATTTACCAGATGTTTTTTTTTTTAACATTTGTGATGATGTGCACGCATTTTTAATATGGACATTTTTATTAATTAAATGCTGGAAATTGTTAACAAGAATATTGTTACATCACCTCTCCACTACAGTGAGCGAGAGCTGTTAAGAAGAAGAAAAAAAGACAAAACCAAATAATGTAAACTTTTGAAATGGGCCATTTTTATGGTATGCAATAATTAAAAAAATATAAATTATATACATTTGTATAAATTAGGGCTTCCACAGCTAATTATTTTACTAGCCGAACAAGTAGTCAGGTCAAATGTTTCCCTTATGTAAATTTTACGTTAGTTTGCGTTAACTTATTTCTGCTAATTTCCACATTTGTAAAATGACACTATAGCATGTCAGTTTTCCTGGTTTTAAATAGGATATTTAAATAATCAAATAATAAATAGGATATATTTTCCTATTATTAAATTAAATATGAATTTATAAATTTCCCAAGCAATAAAAGATATTGTTTACAGCTGACAATCGTGTGACTGACCACGTGAGTTGTATGCAAGTTTATTTTTACAGACGTCCCCATGAGAAACAATTACCATCCTAATAGGGCTCGAGTCTTATTTCATGTACGTAATATCAGTCATCATCCTGTTTCATAAGAAACAATGCCAAAAGTGATCTGTTATGGTAGGGTTAAGGAGTAGTAATTTTAGTCAAAGCGTAACAGAAGTCATTGAGAGGTTGTCTGGTGAGAAGTGCACATTTTCCAATATTTTGAGGGTGACCCAAGTTTAAAACATCTCTGGTTATTTCCCAATACCAGCCCTCCCTCTTTTTCCCATAATTTCCTGTCACTCCTCTGCTATCCTATCCCTTTAATGATGAAAAGCCCATCAGTGCTAAAAAAAAAAAAAAGGTCCATGGTGATATAAAAGGGGGTCCCGTGTGTGGATCACCTTAGTCTCCTCACTGTCAGGGTCCTCCAGCCAGTGGTATGGATCGGAGATCTTTACTCCATGATAATCATCCACCTTTGAAACAAAACACCAAAGTTAGGAGCAGCAGGCATGTCTGCACTGGGAGAAAATAGAAACAAGACACATTCGGTTTCCAGGTAGTATCTGTTAAAGCAGGCCTTGAGGCAAACCCACGCTGCAAGGAAACCATAATGCAGTCAGCTACTGTACCATATGCAACTTCTGACACATAACCACTAGATATCAACACAGACACCCCTAAACCCCTCCACTCTCATGACACATGGCAAAAGCTCGCTCCTCTGTTCCAGTCAGTCTTTTGTGTCCGCGCTATTTGTTTGTGCATTTCATGTGTCTTAAAGAAAGCGGAAGAGCAAGTGATTGAATGAAAGACTAGATGTGCAAAACCCCAAGTGAAAGTACCACTGACCTTACTGTCATCCCTCCGTACTTCAGGGTATGTGAAAGCCATTCTGGGTGTGTTTTGATAGGTTTTTTTTTGTAATTCTGTGTATATTTTTGTGTGTTTGTCCGTATGTTTCACGCCCGGGTGAGTCAGCTCTGAAAAGTGAAAGTGAAATCAAACACGGCTCTCTGTTTCTCTCTCTCTCTCACTCTCCTGATTACACAACAAGGCAGCTCTTCAGGCAGGAAATGATTTCACACTGGATTGGTCAACCCAAAGTGGGCAGAGTTAGAATCTCACACAGTTCACTTCAGCTTGTGTTGTGCTGTGATGTCTTAATATGTTTTAGTAGGACAAGTTTTAGTACTTATTAAACACTTTCTTACATAAAGAAATTAGTAATATAAAAAGGTAAAAAAGACATAATAATGTCGTACAATAATGTACAATAATGATGTACAGTACATGTCATGGCAGTGATATCAGTAGTTTTTTATCTAAGATAAAGTGGGTCACTTTATGGAGGCAGCAGATATTTGACTATTTTGAGATTATCAGCATTGGCCAAAACCATGCTCACTTTGCCAAATTGTCAGTTCCAATGTGTACAGAGATCATTAGCAATGAGTAATGCACATTTTGAATTTTTAAATATTTCTGAGTGAATTTTGAGCAAATGTTTCCAGAATTTATTTGTCAAATATATTTCATTTTATTGTATATTCAGTTATTTTATTTTATTTTACAAAATTTTGAAATGTTTAAATATTTTGAGTACATTTTGTTTAAATTTTCGGTTAATTTTGTCATTCAAGCAATTAGGTTTTCACATAATTTGTATATTTTAATGTATTAAATGCTGTCTCAAAATCTGCAGCCAGCTATGATATTGTAGTATTATTTATATACTCTAGCTGGTATGGGGCCTAGTTGCACCGCCTTATGGATGTTTTGTCTTATATTATTTATTTCTATATATAACATTTATTTTTATATTTTAGTTTTCATTTTAATTTCAGTTTAAATTTTATAAATTTTATTATGTGCTTTGTTTTATTTGTGCTTTGCTTTTTTTTTTTTTTTTAGCTTTCATTTATTTTTATTTTAATTGAAGTAATTATAGTATTTCAACCGAAACTTATTTTATTTCAGTTAATTGCCAAGGTAAAGTAAATTTTTTATTTTTTTTACCATTTTAGTTAACACTTTTAAAGTTTTTTTTTTCCCTCCAGTTATGCTGTACAACAGTGGTTCAGCATAATAGGCATAACAGTTAATCCTGTTATTATTAAGAACCATTTTTGGTTCTCAAAAGAGCTTTTCAGTGAACAATTAATCACAGGGCCATTACTTTCTTAGTATGAAGAACATTAAAACATTTTAATAACCTGAAGAACCTTTTGTCACCATAAAGAACCTTTTGTGCATTAGAAAAGTTTTATGGATGTTCATTGTTTGTAATCGAACCACAGATTCCCATAAAGAACCTTTATTTTTTAAAGGGGTCATATGATGTTACTAAAAAGAACATTATTTTGTAGTATTTGGTGTAATGAAATGTGTTTATGCGGTTTAAGGTTCAAAAAACACATTATTTTCCACATACTGTACACTCTTAAGAAAAATGGTTCTAAACAGTACCAGAAAGGGGTTCTTCGGCTTGTAACAATAGCAGAACCCTTTTTAGTGCTAAATAGAACCCTTTTTATAGGGTTCCATATAGAACCATACTTTGAAAATGCTATATAGGACCTCATTGGTGTTATAAATAACCTTTTTAATGATAGTTTTTCATTAATATTAGTATGTTAATATAATTAATATTAGTATTATTTGTATATATTATTTATTAATATTGTTTATTACCCCTCTAGCTGCCTGGTCTTATAATATCTTGAAGTGCTTTAAAGGGTCATGAAACCCCCCGTTTCAGCACTAGTTAGTTCTCACCACAGTTTAAAAAAATGATAAAAAAAGTGGGCGTGGTGCACAGCGGAGCGGAGGAGGGGGAAGAGGGGAGACAGACAACATACACAGCTTAGCGTTCTGACAGTTTCATTTCGCTCCCATCGAGTTAAAAACACAAATAAATGCACAGCCATTTGCACTCCTTAAAATTAACCAGTTTTCTCCAACAGCTAAAATTATCAGATGCTAACATTGTCTTCTATGATGTGCAACACAAACACCTCTGCTAAAATCTCAGAAAAAGTAGTCTGGGGTTTCATGACCCTTTAAAAGCGAACAGTAACAGTGCTGGATCACAGTACTAAGAACTTTATCATTATAACACCACTGCTGTTGGAGACTTTTGTTTGTGGAATAAATTAATCATGGCTGACTGCCAATGGTGCATTTTCGGAATGGCGTGCAACATAAACAAAACATTACTGATCACACCTTTGAATTTCAGTGGAAATAGGAATGATTTAGTGATCTTTATCCATTGTGTAGTGGTCTTATTGACTGAACAAAAACAAAAGGATATTTTAAGTCTGGAAATAAGCATAGAAATTTTGGTCTCCGGCTTTGTAACTTTAATGTCACCAAGGATTGTGAAGATGATCTACTATTTTTACTTGTACAAAAGCAATCATTTGTACATCATTATGTTACCATTTTGACGTGCACAAAAACCTCACACCCAGCCTATTCTGTGCATTTGTTCATAGAGCTTTGTTGACACACATTTGAGTTCTCGGCAGTAATACAGGTTTAGCTCAGTCAAAACAGGCATATGCTGACAGACGGCCTGTCTCGTCACAAAACAGAGTGTGGAAATCGCAAGGCATGAAAGAAAGAAAGAGAAAATGTTTTGTCCGGCACTTAATTACAAGGCAAGTTATGTTTGTCAGCAGGTGTGTAAAAGGTATCCTACACTTTGTGCGTGTTTATGTGGACTTAAGTCGCACTTTACGTGCCTGCGGTGTGATAGCTGTCACTGCTCTCCATTTATATCCCTCTATGACGAGACCTTTAATGACACATACAAACCCTCAAATAATCACATCCCCCGGGGTGGTTCCGGTGTGCTTTTCATAAGCTTGTTTTGACATATTTTCTATCGTGAAAATTTCATTCTGCTTTAGCCATCGAATAAATATCATCCGTAGATTGTTTTAGTAGTTGGATTTTTATTAGTGTATCTTTAAGAGAGTAATATCTGTAAATATGTAACAACATGAAAGCAGAAAAGATGGAAAATTCCAAGTTTAGTGCAAATGAACATGTGTGGCGTATGTTGACTGGCACAAATACGTTTTTAATCTGGTCTCTACTTTTCTTAAAGGGGTCATATGATGCGATTTCAATTTTTCCTTTCTCTTTGGAGTGTTACAAGCTCTTGGTGCATAAAGAAGATCTGTAAAGTTGCAAAGAATCCAAAGAGATATTCTTTATAAAAGTTAAGAGTCAGCCACACCTACCTAAAACGGCTCGTTCTAACACGCAAAAATCTGGGTTACAGTGATGCACTTACAATGGAAGTGAATGGAGTCCATATGTAAGTTTTTCTGTGAGAAGGATTTATCAGAAAAACCAATGTAAGTACTGTGTTTTTAAACCCTTCAAAATATAGGCCTCATTCACTTCCATTGTAAGTGCCTCACCGTCACTCTGATTCAACAACAACATTTTGAACACACTGAAAACAACAACATTTTTTGTAATAATCAACATTATGCCACAACTTCTGTCGGTTGAACTTGTGTCGAACCCCAAATTATTCCTTTAAGGGGTTAACTGCCTTGACTTCTTGGTAACCTGTTGCAAAACAGCAAAACATATGCTGAAGGCAAACAATAAGACAAGCTGTAACCAATCTTCTGGCCTAAAATCATATGGCAGCCGAGGGTCAAAGTCTCAGAGACAAAGAAATGAACGCTCTGCTTGCAAAGGAATATGATTCAAGGGGGAATCCCATACTACCAATATAGCTGCACTGATGGGAAGCTCGATTCTGAGACGAGTGGGTAAAGCAGGATTGATTTTGTCACTTCATTATGGGAAGAATCTGAAGGCACCAGACAGGGAGTGAGATTTGAAACACGAAAATGTATCACGAACTCTGTTGCTTTCCAAACATCTCTGGGGTTGAAACCAATTCTGGAGAGTCCCAAACTGAGTAACCTATGGTAGATCAATGGTTTGCGTGTCAACCTGTGCTAGCTCTTAAATTACTTGTCTGGAACTCATCAACAACTGGAAACAGGAATTGCACAATATACTCATATTTCTCATACACAGACAAGGTAGTAATATTCATCCATGTGTGACCACTACCATATGTTAATTTCATAGACGATAATTCTGAACTAGACTGTTTGGCAATTCTTTATGGAAAAAGGGCAAGATTAGGGCAAACACGAGGAGATCATTAGTCTAACTGTAGAATGTCGAGTAACTTGCTGCATTAATACAGAATTTGTTTACTCTGTAGTCACAGAATAATGTTAGATTAATGTGATTTATTGTGGTATATGTTAGCTATATTACAGTGGCTTTGAATGTGGCCGGGGCTGGATTATGGACTAGACCAGTGTTTCTCAACCAGGGGTCCGTGGACCCCTAGTGGTCCTTGACGTAAGACCAGGGGGTCCGTATAAAGTATGAATTTTTGTATAAATGTTGTATATTTTGACATGACATGTTCCCATGAAAGAAAAATCCAATATAGCTGATGATATGACCAAATACTGGACAAGTCAACTAACTTGAATTATACTTGACTGCATTTGGTCCTCACAAAGACACAAATGATACATAGATTTTTCAATTTTGTTCTGGGGGTCCTTGAGGATGGTTCTGAATTGGACTGGGTTCCGGTACGCCAAAAGGTTGAGATTCACTGGATTAGACTATAAGGGCCAAAGTAAGGCCAAGGAGGGCCCTTGGGACATTCAGTACAACTTAACCATTACAGCCACAGGCCCTTGATGCTTTTGTTGAGTTCTTAGTATCAGTGTCTGTTACTATTTTTAGCAAAGTTAAAGTTTACCGAATATCTTATTGAAATGCATTTCTTATTTTTGTAGTAAATTTCAGATCCTAGAAAAAATGGCAACACTCACTCTACAAACATAAACTTTTTTTTTTTATTTTTTTTTTTAAAAACAATAATGTTTTGGACAAATTCAAGGCCTTCATCAGACATTAATTGTTTCTCAGTCAAAAAGAGTATTTTAAGAGAACATATACAATAGGCAACAG